CAACCAACCAACCAACCAACCAACCAACCATCCAACCATCCAAACATCCAAACATCCAACCCACCAACCCACCAACCCACCAACCCACCAACCCACCAACCCACCAACCCACCAACCCACCAACCCACCGACCCACCGACCCACCGACCCACCGACCCACCGACCGACCGACCGACCGACCGACCGACCTACCTACCTACCTACCTACCTACCTACCTACCCACATGCAATATATGTAAAAACATATATATATACATACATACATACATACATACATACATACATACATACATACAAACCCAGATATAAGATACATATCTGTATATGTGTAAATATGTATATACATATCTCCATATCATATATCAATTATTTCAGTTCATATGGGTGTTAGGTATATGTATGACTGCATGTTCCAAGCAGAGGCAGCGGTGGCAACAAAAATCTGCTTCACGATTCCATCGTCCGACTCGGAATTCGCAGCAAATTGCGAAAGACTATGGCTCGTCCAACAGGTTTCGAGCTACAAATGACAGATCCCGCTGAGCTGCCCAGAGCCCGGTGGCCAGCGAATTTCAGAACAGCTTGGGGAGCATGTATAAATAAGAGGACCTTATGACGGTATCGAGATTGGACTTTCAGTCTGAGGCCGGGAGAGACTACGCATGCACCGGCAGCTTTTTGGAGCGTGCTTCTGCCATGCATCGGTGAAACATGAAGGGCTTTGCGAGGCTGCTGCTGGCAGTTGTTCCGATGGAGACCGACCGCTGGATAGACGTGATACAGGAACCTGAAACTTACACATCCGTCATAGACTACAAAAGAGTAGCAGCCGCGAGGTAAAACCCAGAATACGAGCAAGACCTGTCAGCTAGAACAGACTCCCGATCATGAGACATCTACGTCTGTGGCTCCCACCAATGAGACATCTACGTTGAATTTACATATTCTTAAACCCTGGGTTGCTGCGCGCACACCCCACCCACCCACCCGCCCACCCACCCACCTACGAGTAGATCTCCTAACAGCAATGGCTGATCTTCGCCGAAATTGTGAACCATCTTCGGGCCAATCCCGCGTGTGAGCCTCCATTGAGTACCAAGCATATGCCTCAACATAGTTCAACAGCCATCTTTCAGAATTTCAGAGGAGTTGAATACAGCTCTTGCTGTATAAGACACTTCAGACACAAAAACTACCAGCACTTATCAGGAGCTCCGCGAGTGCCAGGGCCGCAGGTGCCTTCAAAGCAGAGGGTGTTTTACAAAGAGACTCCGAAAACCTTTGGCCTCGTGGATTCTATGGGAACGCATATAAAGGCCAGCCCTGAAACCTGCACTACTAGGCTTGCACGATGTCCGTGGCATCTACTTGCACCTGTAAATTTCGACCTCTCCAGCAGCATACATGTCACATGTGACGAAGGGTAAGCAATTCAACAGGACATTGTCGGCTGCATGACTGATGTGCTCCTCTGCTTGTGTCTGTAGAGTCATATAGAAAGACCATCCGCTGAAACGGAAACCTCCGGAGCTGCCGCGCGCCTTCAATGCAAATCGGACTTCTCGCCTTTTCCCGATAAGTAATGCAGGCCTGGGCTGCGGATTCCTACATCGAATTTGGGTGGGAAGCGGCGGGCCAGTCTTCCAGGCATAGAGGAAGATTCCGCTGAACTGCCAAGCCGCCGGAGGCCAAATTTCCAAGTCCTCGGAGCACTCAGCGCGCTGCTTGCGTATCGATGCTGCGCGGCAGCGCGCCATGTCAGGACCGCTCCGCTGTGCCGTAACATGCGTAGCCAAGACTCCCAAAGGCAGGTGTAGCCAACTCCACTGTTGATCTCATAGGTGTTCTCACAGCCAGCTTCGCCTGACCTGCCCACACCGCAGCCCGCAAAACAAGTTCAACAGTTTGTCCGTTTACTGGACATGCTGGACCATTGCACTGTCAACAAGTGCTTGAGTCTCCAGCTTGCCACAATGAGAGACGTGTTTCAGCTTCGAGCAGTCGACCTGTACAAGGGTGCTGGAGGCCCCTGTCAAGCGGCAAAGCCCGGCAAAGCTTCTCATTTTGCAATTGTCACGAGCCTGCTTGTACAGGTACTTTGATTTCGCTCCTCAGAGAGGTTAGCTAGTGTTGGAGCCCAGAGATCTCAACAACTTCTTGGAACACTATGCCTGCACAAGTCACACGGCATAGCGCCCGGTGAGCAGCACACTTAACTTCTAAAGCAAGAACGGTAATCTCCACATCTGCTTCCTGCAACTCAGCCTGTCACCCTCGGTGGGGCTTGATGGTGGCAGAAAATCTCCCTCAGTTGTCCAATCACGTCCTCAGACAGACGAAGAGGTCGTGGCTGCATTCCCGCTTCGCTGCATGTGTACCGACTTCGCTCATGAGGCATTCGTGCTCGACGATGGAAGCTGCAGCAGCTGCTGCTAGATTCACTCATTCTGTGCACAGAACACGGCAACAACTGCTGCATTGTATCGCAAGATGAGGGTTTCAGAACATACGCGACTGACTTGCAAGGGTGAAGAAGCCCTCCACGCAAGCTACTTTTCGGCCGCTTTGCTGATTCATCTCTGCATTTCGCGGCACAGCGATAGGAACGTACCAGCAACAGTTTCTGAAAGTTGCAGTTGCTCCTGCATTGCACGTTTTGGCCTTGTCAAAGGGGTCCGCATCTTCCGCGTTGGAATGGCTGGATCTGAACAAAAGTCGTGGCACATCCAGCTGTTTGCGCGCGGAGTATCAATTTGAGCTTGGCCGTTCCAGCACATGATGCCCTTGCATTTCCAGGAGCTCTCCCTAAAAACATCGCGTGCAAACATGCCCGAGATGCTAGGACTCTGTGTTCAGCACCCGAGGAACACTCGCTTGCGACAGGACCGAAGTGACACGGCAACCAAAGCAGCCGACAATGCCTAAAGAAGATAAAAGGCTTACAACCCACCCGAGATGATGAGACTTCTTCCGATTGCGCCAGTGCGTCAATAAATTGGCTTGCAACAGGTCCTGCATAAGAAGTTTCTGCTGCAATGTTGATGCACGGACTGTAGCACCCAAAGGGAAAGTGAGGCCTGTAACAGAAACAGTCCCGACATGATAGGAGTTTTATCTGCAGGAGATTCTATAGTCAGAGGGATGCATATCTCCCCATGGCGTTTCCACCAGGCTTGCCAGGCGACGATGGGTCGGGCTGATCGGATTCGGCGCGACAGTGTCTTCACTGCCAATGCCATCCTCAGGACAGACTGTGTGGAAGCCTTGGCTCTGTGCTCGGGAGACGACACCACCGACCCCACCTGTCAAGGGGGCAGTAGTTGTCACGACAAACGGTTGCAAAACAAATGGAAGCTCTTTGGCACCGTGCTGGCAGTAAAGTAAGTTCGACAGCTTGCATTTGAAGAATTGCAAACTACACACAATGTCGTGCAAGTAGTCAAACGAACTGGAGCACATCATCAGTCAATGTCGAAGGACTATGATTCAGAAGCTACGGAGATGTAGCACATAGCCAGTAGCTAGCAGCAGCTAGTACCACCACTACCACCACCACCGCCGCCGACGACAACGACGACCACAACAACAACAACAACAACAACAACAACGACAACGACGACGACGACGACAACGACAACGACAACGACAACGACAACGACAACGACAACGACAGCAGCTGCAACAGCAACGGCAACGGCACCGGCAACAGCAGGCAGCAGCAGCGGCGGCGGCGGCGGCAGCAGCAGCAGCAACA